TGCTGTAGAAGCATGAATCACCTCTCCCACTTTAGCATGAATTGCCTCTACGAACAGCTAGGGGGCTGTATTATTCCACTTTTAAAGCAATAAGACATAAATCGAGGGATACAACTATCATCAGTCCCTCCTAACAACTTTTTCCTTACCATTTCAAGCAAACATCAATGCCTATACCCGTATATCAGTATTTAAAGTTTAATGAAATCAATTCGTATGTGGTATGGAGCTCCACAACTACCTGGCAACAGTTTTGTTCATATTTTCAACTTTTAAGGGTAAATGAATTTGGCTAGGTGTATGTTTTGTCCTCTCTCTTAACTGCAAGCTCTCTGAATTGCACTGTAGTGTTTTAGTACTTATGGATCTGTTCTACTGAAGTCAAAACCAGGTCACATATTAGATATGATTTCGCTCAGGATTTTTTTTTTTTTAATTTTTCTGGGTGGTCTGACACTACACAAACACAACCTCTGGTGAGGACAGGGAAGCAAGAGATTATGAAAACTTTCTGGCCAAGAACAGCTGTTTGAATTCATTACCAGTTTAGATTAAAGGTGTTTTTGTTGTTAGTGTTGTTTTTGTCCATTTTTAAATGTTTTTCTGGTGCAACTGGGAGCTTTATTTTCTTATACTTTTGCGTGAATTAGGTCACTCAGTAATTTGGATTGCACTTCCACATGGTTTTTATTTGATTACTGTGTGAATGCTCATTGTTTACTTTGCTGTTGTTTTATGTTTTTCCTGATACTTACTGAAAGCTGTAAACCCAAATAAATGACAAGTTCAGTAAAAACTCAATCTTGCTTTTGTGCTGCAAAAGCCCATTCAAGGCTTCATAAGCCCCTCAAAATTGATTTTTGGAGCACTGTTATTTAATCTGTCCTTTAGAAAACTTTAATGCCTTGAGCAAATCCTTTTTGCCTTATTCCCACCATTAGGTGCTTTGACTTCATGGTAAGCAGATATATGTAAGACAAACAGAGATGCAGTGCAGATTCTTCCCCCAGTCCCTAGTAATTCTCTAACTTTTCCACCCTCCCTTTCTCATTATGAAATAAAACCTCCTGTGTAAACACTACCGCTTGTGCTCTCATGGCACCCAGCCTTATTCCCATCAGTCGCTTGCTCTCCCCCACCTGCTATAGCTGACTCATTAATTCAGCTTCAGCTTTGCTTCACCTTTTCCTTCCCCAAAGAATTACATGTAAAGTTTATGGCACTGTTCTTATTTCAGCATACTGTGTCTCTACATACCCGCTGGGCCCACAGATAATACTGTGCAACTTTCCTCTGGCTCAGTGGCTCCAACTTCAATATTTTCTTGCAGGGTTCAGTCTTTAAAAGGAGGTCTGTGGCAGAGGTGGTGGAGGGAATTAGCTGGCTAGCTGTGGTCCAGTCGATGTATTAATTTGACCTTTTTGTCAGCTTACCATTACATTGTCATCTGAACTGCAGCCAGCCAGAACAACCTAACGCAGTGCTCCAATGCCGCAGCTTTTGCATATGGGACTAGCTGCAAAACAACATCAACTAGCATTTGAGTCAGCTTTTCTTCCGTGTGACACCCTTCTGAGAGTTTGCTGTCAACCTTTAATTTACATGCAAATGAGGAGGCAGAAGGAAATCCAGTATGATTGAATACAGAAAAAAACAGTATTCTGACTTCACACGTCTTGTATGACTGGCCTAAAGTACCATATGGCCCTGACTAGCGATGGGGAGTGATGCTGTTCCTGTATTCAGTGCAGTTAGGTGCAGCCTGTAAGTGGCAAGAAGCTGCAATCTGTCCATAGTTCTTGGCTTTGGAAATACAAACAAAAAATCAAAAAACAACAGCAACAAAAAACAACCCCCCAAAACAGGCTTTGAATCTTTTTTTTTTTTTTTCCCCACAGAATCTCTAACAGCAAATAACCCTTCCTTCCTCATTACCATGCCTTTTCTTTATTAAAAGTTTTCAGTTAATGAACACCAGCTAATGTAGAACAGAGAACCAAGAGTCTAAAATTATGTAAGACCTGAAGAAATAGCAGTTATTGCTGGCAGTAAGTAGCTCAGGAAGTTAGTTCTGTCTTCCACATTATTTATATTGTAATGGCGTTTAAACAATAATTCAGCAGTGATTATGTTGTCATCCGTCTTGTAATGAAATGTTTGTCCCTAGCAGCTGTACCTTATATTTCTTATGTTATATTCATTGTTCTGGAACTTTTTAACAAAAATCAATCAATAGAATAGAAAACTAGCTTAAATATCTTTACAATGTTCACATTAAGGTATTAAATTAAACAAACAAACAAACAAAACTTTTACTGAAGAGCCTCATGGCTTGGGTGGTTGTCACATACAAATAGTAAGGTGGACCATGGTTTGACCAAAATCAGCAGCAAAGCACCCATGGACTTAATTTTACCCCAGAGGAGGTAAAAGGCAAGTGGAAAAGAACATGGAAAGAGCGTAGGGATTATGACTCCAGCCACAGAGTGGGTTAGAGGTTTTCAATGAAAAAGTGGCAGATATGTCAGCTGATGATTTTTCTCAAGATGAGGGCAGGGATCTTGCTCATAAATAAATTACTTCATTGTTTGTTCTTCTTGCTATCTTAAATGTAGAAATAGTGGGTGGCCATACTGCAGGCTTCAGCTCCCTGGTGAGTCAGTTGTCTTGCTTGCCTATAGGGGATAATTGTTTGAAATAAAATAAATAAAAGCTCCAGATAAAACTAGTGCTATCGATTAACATTATTGTTGACATCCTCCACTGAGGATAAACAAAGTCTAGCTAATTACTGAATTTACAGATCGGGCTGAGTACTACTGCTATAACCTGTCTAGAATTAGCTCGGTGAAGTCACCACTGAAGCAGGAGTGACTTCTGGCAGTGGGTGAGGTGAACAGTGAAGGTCTGGTGTTCTGCAGTGGTGGGTGATCCAGTTTGGGGTATTTTCAGGCTGGGACCTTTGTAAATTCTCAAAAACCCTGAAAATGGTTTGTAGCTATGATTTGCAGGAGAGTATACATAAGATACGCGTATACATTGGCACTTGAAATTTGCTGCATACCTCAAGTGTTGATGGGACAGGAGTCCAAAACACAAGTGATCATTTGGGTTCAGCTACCCAAAACCACAGTGATCCTCTATGAAGAGAGCAAAGTACTTGTGTTGTCTCACCGCTGTCAGGGTCTCAGTATTAGTTTAGGCATAAATGGAAAGGATGGCATCTGGAGACTAATGAATACTGGACATAAATTGACAAAATCTATAGCAAATTCCATCTCCAAAAGAAAAATAAAATAGTAATTTCTGCCATGGTACAGTTGTTCTCATGATATGCAGTAAGCTTTCTCATGCCTCTAGACCTGATTTAAAAAAAAAAAAAAGGCAGTGGTTGAACATTGAGCAAGTGTATGTAGAATGGACTTTCTCCTTGGATTTTGTTTTTAGAACATAGTTGTGTTTTAAAACTTTTTTGGATTAAGAAATTTTAACCTTTTTTAACTTTGAATGCTAGTTTTTCAGTGATAAACCAAAGACTGGCAAGAGGAGTGTTTAGTGACAATCTTCAGCATTTTGGATGCATGCTTTTCCAGATGTCTTGTTATTTCTGAACTGCCAGTAACATTTTTATTTTTAACACTTTTAAAACATGATTTCAATTTCACTGTAATAGTAAACACCCCACAAAAGCTGTGTTTTATAACAGCAAAAGTCACTATTAATGCAGAGCTGTGCAGTGTGTTGGTTTTATATACCAAATAATATTGCGTGTATGTGTGTTTACATATGTATGTATTCAGAACATTAATGCATGAATGGTTTCGCAAATAGTGGTCTGGATTTCAGTCTTACTTTTGCTTGCCTTGCTCTGGTATGAATGTTGTAGCTATTCCTGACTTACACCTCTAAATTATAGGTGAATTAACCTACCTGTTTATTAGACATACAAATAGCTTCTACATTAAGCTCTACCAAATAACTTGTATAACTTTGCGTGCCATAAAGATGTTAAAATTACCAGTGAAGAAGTAATCATCTCTGTACCTCACTTCAATTTGCACTGAAGTGTTCGGAAGGCCAGCTTGTTGCATTGCTTATATAGCAGCTACTTCAAAAGCTGAGACTGACTTCTATCAACAGTGCCATCACCAATTTAGCACCTTCTGGTTATCTTTGAACACTCCAAAAATCTGGCCATTGTCTGTTTCTCTTTGATGGTATCCTTGTACATGCAGCAGATAACAGATTTTTTTTTTCACTATGGATAGCATATGTCCCCTCATACTAAACAACCAAAACACAGAGGGTTGTGACTTGGTCAGTTGCAACCTGAGATCAGGACTGTGACTTCTTGGGGAGAATCAGTACTCTGGACAGGTTCATCTGTCTGTTTTTCATAGAAATACAGCTCTGCCTGTTAACAGAAAGCTGGCAGGAGTGGAAGACCAGAAAAAAAACAGAGCTTCCACCCAGCAAGGTTCTGTGCCTGGTGTATTTTCTGTCTACCCCAGCATATGCTAGGCTTTTAAGGAAGTGTTTCTGAAGTACCTGACAACAGTCTAGCTCCATCTGCCACTCAGTTTTCTCTGTAAAAGTGGCCAGCCTGATCATCCCCTTCTCAGAAGGAGAGGCAGGTTCCTTCGGGCAGCATGTGTTGCGAGGAGAAGCGCATTCCCCAAGTCAAACGGGCCAAACAGCTTGCTCGCCAAATTGCCGAGTACAGCGCAGGCTGATCCTTTTCAAAGAGAAAACATTTGGCTGCAGCCAAAACCCGAGAACACCTGAATCGAATTTTCCGCGTCTGAAAGCGAGGAGGTCCGGGCACCGGCGCTATTTTCGGCTTGGGGGGCAGCCCTACACGGTAGCAGCTGCGGGGAAGCCACCCCAGGCGCAGCATTAGGGCCACCTGCCACGAACCGGAGACGTGAGGGGGCGCTGCCCCCTCCGGGAGCCGGCTGAGGGCTGATGTCCCCCGGGGGGCTCCCCGGGGCCGGGCTGAGGGGACAAGGAGCGGCGGCCACCCCGGGGCCGGCAGGGGGAGGTCGCCGCCGCCGGGCCCCTGTGGAGGCGTGGGCAGGAGGGAAGCCGGGCATCGCCCTGCCCCTAACTCACTCGCTCGAGCTGGCGGCTTCCCCTCAGAAACCCACCCGGGTCGCCCCCTGCCCGCCCGGCTTCCCCGGGCAAAGTTTCTCGGAGGTGGCGGCGCCGCACCTGCCCCTGCCAAAGAAGCCCCAGCCCCGGCGGCGGAGGAGGCGAGGGGTGGCACCGCCGGCAGGCGAATAAATAAAGTTGCGGGTTTGGGGAGGGGACGAGCACCCTGGGGAGCCTTCGGCGGGGCTGTCAGCGGCTCGCCCCGGGGCTCGTTCTCCCCCCCACCCCCGCCCCGTGCACGCCCGGTCCCTCCCCGGGAAGAGGCGCTGCCCACCCGAGGAGGCGCCCGGCGCCGGTGCCCCGCTGCCGCTGCTCACTCGCACACAGCCACAGCCGGGCGTGCACTTCTCGGCGCCCCCGCTAAGTCAGCCCTGGTGTTTTCAGGTTGCTCAGACCTGAAACCTAAGGGAAAAAAAAAAAAAAAAAAAGAATTAAAGGCAAAAAGCTCAGCCGCTCAGCTTTTGCGTCGCTGCTCCCGCCGCCGGGGGTGGGAGCGGTGAAGAGGAGAGAGGTGGTTTTCTATTTTTTTTTTTTTATTTATTTTTTTTAACCTCCCTCGATTTCAATGGATGTGAACTTGGAGTCTTTGGACCTCGGAGGTTTTGGAATATCTACCCGCTGATCCTTTTTGTTGTGGCACAGCAGCTCGTTTGGGGAAACCATCCGAAGACAGCAAGATGTTTCTCGCTCTCTTGTACTTCGCTTTGCCCTTAGTGGGTAAGTTGCCGGGGTCTGATTTCTCTCTGTACATCGCTTCATAAAGCAAGGCATAGGGTTTATGGCATCGGATGCCTGATGGTTGCCAGCTTCTTGTTTAGGCAGAACAGTGAAGTTTCCAGTAGTTTTTTATGGCTCTGCTGCACATCACTTAGCCCAGTCTACGTTTCGGGCTTCAGGAGGCTGTACACTTAGGTACTTGCCTGCGTAGCCTCCTGTTAAATTGGGCTCTCACAAGTTATGGGAAAACTTTTCATTTAATAAGATAAGGCTGCTTAGGGGGTGAGGAGGGTGATCCGAGCCGGCTGAAGGATCACGTCTTCACCTGGAGCTGGCAACCTGCCCGACTGCAAGAGGTTTGCAGCCCCGGCTGGCTCCCTTTCCACAGGAGGTGTTTGCCTTTCCGTCCGTATGTCTGAGGGAGTGTGACGGGGGCACGATGGAAAGGAGAGAGTTAATGCAATTTGCTTTGTTCTCCCGCAAAAGCATCATACGTGGAGAGAAATGGAAGGGGGGAGAATCATAAATCCCCCTTTTAAGATACGTGTAGAATAAGCAAAACTGTGTACAGCCTTTAAAAAGTGACTGACGCAAAAAAAAAAAAGGCTAATATCAATCAGCGAGGATACTTATCTCTCCGAGCGGGTTGTTCGTGGATGTAATTGAAATTACAGCAAAGCTGTTGTGGAAAGTGAGGCTGAGTGTTTAACCCCTCAGTTAAGCACGGGAGCGGGGAGGTTATTTGTTTCTCCAAAGTGGATCCAAGGAATAATGAACGCTCGTTCTGTCAGGCACGTTAACCCCTCTGGGTTTTCATTCCTTTTTGCGTTTTCTCATAAACCAACCGGCAGGGTCAAAACCTCCACTTTCTGTGTGTTCCCACTACAGTGGATCTGCCTAAGACTGTGAAAGCCCCAGGTGGTTTCCGAAACCACCCTGAGGTTTGCAAGGTGCCGCCTGCGGCGAGGAGGTGCCTTGTGCTTCCCGGCTGCCTGCCCGGGAGCCCTGGTTAGATCGGCCACATCCCTCAAAGAGAGTTTGTTGGTTTGTGTTTCCTCTTTCTAGATGTACTTCTGTCCGCAGAAGTGAGCGGGCTGGCTGGAGGGGACCGCCTGGACTGCGTGAAAGCCAGCGATCAATGTCTGAAGGAGCAGAGCTGTAGTACTAAATACAGGACACTGAGGCAGTGTGTAGCTGGCAAAGAGAGCAACTTCAGCCGGGCGACAGGCCTGGAGGCGAAGGACGAATGCAGAAGCGCCATGGAGGCTCTCAAGCAGAAATCTCTGTACAACTGCCGCTGTAAGAGGGGCATGAAGAAGGAGAAAAACTGCCTGCGCATTTACTGGAGCATGTACCAGAGCTTACAGGGTACGTTGCAAAACACAGAAACATTACACTCCCCCTAATGCAGTGTGATTTCGCAGCCCCTCGCGTCAGCTAGCTGCTGCCACTGAGACTAAACTGAGGTTCTGACCTCGTAATTCATATTGTGCTCTTCAGCTGCAAACTGAGGACCTTTCATCCGACTCAAGAACAGCTGCTGCTCCGTCTCCTGTTGTTGGGAAATCCACAATGAGGGTTTCCTCCAGGGGACCCAGCTGACCTTTCTAAACCAGAGTCAAACGATAAGGGCATTAGCAAGTGCAAAAGCTACAAAAACAGTCATTTGGAGACATTTTCCTAATAATTCAAGTCCTTAATTAGGACTCACCTAACAAGATCACAGGACACTGAAACTGATTTCTTAGCTCTTTGCTGACAGTTAAATGTAATATGAAGAGGAGCATTGTTTTAAGGAAAAGTTTTTGTTTCCAGTATACTCTAGCAATAATCCCTGGGCAAACAGAGGCAGAAAAAAGATCTGTGCTTCCTAGACCAGGAAGTGCCACTTAAAAGGGATATGACAGTGACTGACTTACAACTTCTGTTTTCATTGATGCCATTGGCAAACTTTCCATAGTCTGTTGAGAACAGTCAGGTCCTTGGGAGAGATCTGTCATTTTTTTTTGGCCCTGCTTTTCTCTAGCCCTGGAGTTGAAGATGCAGTCTTTCATTTCCATGTGGTCCCCATTAAACTTTTTTTTCTGTACCTACTTTTGCATTCTTCTGTGGAAGCCATCCCTTTCTGTTCGTTTACTTCAGGCATCAACTGGAACATTTTAATGAGTCAATATCTATTTGTGTTCTAACTTTCATAATAAATTGCATTACTCTTGAGCATTTTCTGCATCATAACTAAGTTTCCCTTCCAACAGCATCTTGCTAGGAATGTTTTATTCCAAAGATGTTATTTTTTTGGCTGCCACCTGGGCTGCTCCTCTACATAAGAACTCTGCTGCTAATGTGAGCTGAAGGGGAAACATCCCTGCTACAGCTCCTCTCCTGTTTGCATATTGAGATGGGACAGTCTGGGTGATGTCAGACTGTTACTGCAAATTATGACCTTATCCACAGAGGAAGGAGAGAAAAGAACTAGTGACAGGGATAAACAACTTGCTTCTTTCAGGTGTTTATAGAGAAATAGCCACACATGCAGATTAAAGCAGAGTACCTTTTCCAGTTACAGAGTAATTTTATTTGAAAGTAAAAGTAAACACAAAATCTTAGCCTGAATTCTTGTATAAAAAAATTCAAAATATTTTTTGCCTTTAGGAAATGACTTGCTTGAAGATTCCCCCTATGAACCAGTTAACAGCAGACTATCAGACATATTCAGGCTAGCACCAATTGTATCAGGTAAGCAGACTTAAAATTCTTTAGCTGAAACATGCTTTTAATCTGCTGCTGCTATGGAACTTTTGTAGCTTGTGGAGCACAACCCTCTTAAGTAGAATGTTAATGACTTTTTGGATTTAATAAGTTCATGATATAGTTGCACAGAGCAAAATACTAATTGGTTTTTAAATAATAAGTAAAACTGAAGGAGTTCTTGGCAGGATGGCAATTTGTATTCTTCGAGTCATTCTTGACAATAAATGCTAAATTTTCCTGTAGGTGGCAATCTGATTCCCCATGTTCCTAATTTCCTTTTTGGGAATGTGGTCAGTGCAAGTTACCTCCCATTGACATTCAAGAGGAACAGAAGATAATCTTTCAGATGTTTCTGTAAGGGAATGCTTCATAGTTTCACACAGGTTGTTTTTATTATTAATTTCAAATTAAGGCTTGTCATATTTTCTGAAACTGCTGTCTGTTTAAGGAGCCAATTTACAACTTTTTTCTTTTTCCAGTTTTTCTCTTAATTTTTGCTGTTACTTTGTGCATATCTTTCAGAACTTATTTGTAGTAATTAGAATATGTTGCTCAATAATTAAATTACGCTGCTTGTTTTTATCAGATTAAGTTACACTCATTTAGGATCATATTGAAACAATGAATTTGTGGCATTGATGGGGTTTACAGGTCAGAATTCATATTATTTTTCATAGTTTCAGGAAGTCTTATGAAGGTGCAGTACATACTCAGGACTTCTGTTTGTTTAGTTTCATAATACAAAACAAAACAATGCAGAGCGTAAGGTGTGTGTCTGATTGTGTTAAAGCTGTAGTTAACTGACTGTGCTACAGATAAGCTACAGATAGGTTGCTCTTCAAAAGAAGGGAGAAAAAAAATGCCAGAGAGAGTGGCTTGACCAATTTTGAGCAGTACTTACACTTGTTAGGACCTTAAGTCTCATTAAAAGCCAGGGGGATGTAGGTTGTTAAGCATTTAATGGTACAGATTTTCAAAGGCATATAGACACATAAAATGTAGATAACTGCCCATTGGGATTTTCAGAAGGGCTAAGTGATTTAAATAGGTGTTAGATGCCCAGATGATTTAAAAAATTCTAAGTGCTTAATGCATCTTTAGGTGTCTTAATGCCTTTGAAAATCAGACCTTCAGTCACTTTTCAAAATGTGGCTTCAGATACAAATCACATACATCCTTTGAAAGGATAATCTGAGTTTGGTAAGGAAGTCTGTTGCAGAAATAGAGAGCAAAGATTAATTTCTGAAGAATTTTTATTTATTTATTAAAACCAACACCAAGCAACTGAATACAAAATCAATATAGAGGAGTTCTGGGCTGTTTTCTTAAAGTTTATGGTCAGCCTGCCAAGGGTCAAATTCTAACCAACCTTTGCAGTGCTATGATCTCTGTGGAAATACCCTATGTACGCTCTGACTCTTCATTATACTTCAGATTGCATATTTATTTACAAATTATCTTAGAACTGCAACAAGTTTTTCTACTTGTTTAGTGTGACAATAAAATATGATATATTTGCCAACAAGTGATGTCCTTCCTGCCACTGCCACTTGGAATGCTGGTGGGCTGGTTAGGACACATTCACTGTTAGTGGTGCACCACAAATTCCTGTTCGCTTTGATGGAAGTTTCAGTCTTACAACAATTGGAGGCATAGATTCGCACGGAACAACAAACAAACGTTTTAATAAAGAGGAAAAGCATCAGTATTTGGAAGTATTGCAATCTTTAAGATAAATACTAGCAAAAGTTACTTTACTTATCATCATGGCTACTACTGCATGTACCGTTCTTCAGAGGTGCCAAGTCTTCAAGTTTTTCAGGGCTCTTTGCATACCCCAAACAGCAGAACTTTTGTAAGATTTGTATGTCCTGATTTTTTTTTTTTTTTTTTTTTAAGATAGAAAAAGTGTACAAGCAGTATTGGCAGTAGTGTCATAACTGCTGATCTGCTAATATGATAATATATTCTTACAAATGTAGCTGCAGTGTTAACTCTCATGAAAGTTACCTGGGTGCAATTAAAAGCAGAGATTAACCCATGCTTCTCATTTAGGTTATTTTATCGTACTGTATGACTTGGTATATATCAAGCCTACTGCTTCTGCTGTTCTTTTTATTATTAGTTTTTTGAAACAGTGTAGAAAATCACAGTAATCATCGTCTGAGGTACATGGGGGCAGGGGGAGATGTTTGGCTAACAGGACTATTTTGTGTTTTATATAAGTCTTTTGGAGCACACCTAAGTCTAAGAAATGGAGGACAGTTTTAAAAAGAGGTTAAAGTTGGCCTGATTCTGTGCTGCAAGATGTTCAAAATTGCATCCTTTACTTAAACAGAACACCATATTCTTATTCCTTAAAGCATCAATATGTTGACTTAAAACAAAATTAAGGAATATATTGCTAACCCTGTTACTAATTTGTAGTTTCACTCCATTTCACATTAACATAATATGAACAAATGATGTGGTTGTGCAATTAAAATGAAGCTTTGTATTATATTTGTAAGTGGCTCGCATTGCACTGGCACTAGTGGTTTAATTCATCTAGAACTATAAAGAAAAGGTAAGTGTTCTATGTAAAATTTAAATCAATGTCCAACAACATAGAAAATAAAAATCTAAACCCACAAAATTACTTACCATAGTGCTAGTTAAGCACAGGGTATCATATATCTAGATACTATAGCAAGCATGCATTTTGTATTTGACTCTACTAAATTTGCAGGGCAAGTGTAATGTAAAAAAAGATGACTAAAATAGGAATGTGATTTCAGTGTTTGATTTACTTGTGAAAATGTGTTCTGTGTATTCAGGAGCTTGACCTTCCTTCCTTTCTGTCTATGCTTTAAGTTCAGAATTCAGCTCCTCCTCTGAAGTTAGTCCTGACACTCCACATTGCCAAATCCAGGACTGTAATTCTTCCCAGTACAGAGCTGTCTTATTTTTTGGTTTGTCATATATATGTCTGATTTTTCTTTAGAAATACCATGTCTGATGTGGAGCTTCTGCTTCAAGGTTGTGAATTCCATGCTAGTAGGCAGCTCTTGGAATTACTGAAGACCTGTGTGTGTGTTTCAGAGAGTAGCAGATTTGGGTTACTTACTGTGATGTAAAGCTTAAACAACCATTTTTGCTTAAACCTTAACAGCTTCTGAGAGGTGAAAACATTTTAAGGCTATTGACTTACATCACAACTACAGTAAATGCAAAATCTGTTGATTTGATTTTAAGAGTTGAGTTTCACACCAAAGTAAGCATAGACGCTTGAATTAGTTTGTCACTTGTTAAAGCTATCTACAGCTTTTTACTACTTTGGGAACGGCTTTGCCTCTTGAGTTTGTATTTTATTTGACCATCATGACTGAAAGATACCTTACTATTTTGATATCAACTGATACAGGGTAGTGGTCATCTCTGTGGCATGTTAAGGAAATATCTTACATTAAAACTCTAGCTTCATGTATCTGTAGAAATACTTACAAAATAAATGTTTCTGAAATGTCTCATTTATTTCAGCACTAAAGCCAAATAAAAAGCCTTAAGCCATGGCTGTGAAGTGGTGTGAACCAAATACATAATGTTAAAAAGAACTGAATATTTAGATCAACATATTTAGGATGACGTATGCATATGGATTCATTTTTAAGTTACCTAGTTAATCACAGGTTTATTATCCAAATTTTCAGCTATGTACCATTTCTTTTTTGTTTTACATCTGCTACGTTAAAAATAATCTTAAATAACATGCAACAAAAATCAGGGTTTCTAAAACATGGAAGTTTTGCTGGTAATCTGTGGTTGGTTACATGCTTAGTGTAGTAAGTTGTTTTTGCAAAGTGCGTGTTGTGTCAGCAACAAATGAGAGAGAAACTGGCTCATAGGACTGTATTTCAAAAAGGAGATTTTCCTGATTCTGCTTTTCTTGTAAGAGGCTGTTTGCTCTTCAAAGATTTTGTGAATCTCTCATTGCAGATAGTATTTGGGAGCTTAAATTTTTTTAAAAAAAGGTATACTCTATACTTACAATGGTAAATTTGTTAATTAAAAGGAGAGTTCAGTAGACAGCACAATAAATGGGGCTTCTTACAGGAGTGTGCAATTCCTCATTGGAGTGATGTGAGGAGCACAGCAGATGAAGGTACTGGCGTACTGAGTAAGCTAGAAGTATGAATGAAAGCAATAATTGTCAGTAAGGTGGCCCTTTATTGCATTTAAAAAGTTGAGACTATAAAAAAGTCAGCAGTGATGGAATTTTCATTCCATGTGTGTGCTGGTGGTGTTTAGACAATTTTATATATGGTCTATATATATGGTTTATATATATTTGTAGAGCTTAGGGATATGGTTTAGTGGGGACTGTTAGTGTTAGGTTAGAGGTTGGACTCGATGATCTAGAGGTCTCTTCCAACCTAGAGATTCTGTGATTCTGTGATTCTGTCTTTCTGTGGGATACTTAAGGGTTTCATGGAGATAGGTCTCCCTGTAGGATCTCTGTGTGGTTCAGAAGAAAGGAGTGGGTTAGTGGTTTTCCCCTGTCTTCTGAGCTATTGGAAGTCTTGTAGGCATCCTGTATCACTGGAGTTCACCAGTGAGAAAGTGGGTGCTGGGAAAGAATGAACTCCAGTATGCAAAACATTTCCTTCAGGTCCTCCCCATTGCTTTACCCTTCCCAGGCTGGGGTGCAGGCATCACAGAGAGTGGGTTGCAAGTGTTTCCTTTGGAAAAGTTACTATGAGCAAAGGCAGGGGAGGAAGACTAGGGTATTTCAAAACAGATTTGCAGGATCTAGAGAAACAGAGCTTCCTTGTCCATGTGCTTAAAGCTCTTCAGGATTTGCTGTGCTTATCCTTTCTCTTTCTGCTACTTCTGTAAAGTACAGGGTACACAATGAGAAAACACCATGTCATAGTGTGTTAATATTGTCCAGGCCTTCCTAATCCTCAAATTCTTTTAACCAAGAGTTGACTATGTTTCCCCATCCA